CCAAGTACGCTCAAACCAGCGCTGTCAGCTTTTACTCCGTCTCTCCGTCTTCGAAGCCAGCCACTGGGACCAAGTGATATCGTGGCTTTGCCGGAGTACGTTGGCTGCTGCTGACCCAGTGGATTCATAGTTAGCTTCCCTCATGCGCTCGAAGGCCGTCCAGCGCAATGATCTTCCTAGGCATTATCAGTCTGGGAGCTTGTAGTGTACGAAAGCATGTATACGACAGGTGATGTACAATAACAATAACAAGATCATAAATTACGCCCTCAGCCGTCTTCTTCCGTATCGATGTCCATCTCGTCCCCGAGATCGGTAGAGCGGTCTCGTTCTGCCCCTCCATTCACCATGAGCGCAGCAACGTCCAACCTCCCGTTCCTGGCACCCGCACGCTCCCTCTCCAATACGGTTCTCTCCAGGGCCGGATCCCAGCGCGACGCGCTTTGGAAGAACCGCCGTTTTGTCCCGAGTCCTGGCAGGTCGTTGGATGCCCAGGGCTCATGCCCGCAGCCGAGGTCGTAGTACCCGTTGCCGCCCTCCTCGAGCCGCGGCACGTCGTAGTACTCCCCCGTCAGAAGGCTCATGCGCTTCTTGCCGCTCCGTACGTTGCGTGAGGGGCCACGACTACGCGTCCGCGCGAGCGACGTATCTGAGTCGTACTCGGAGTCTGAGTCGGACTGTGCTACTTTCTCTTGGAGGTTGTAAACGAACTTCGCGTGCTCTTGGGTGTGAAAACGATTGAGTGGGGTTCCTGCCCCAGGACAGGTGGTGGGATCCACTCACGGGCGAGAGTCTCGTCAAGTTCGTCTACTGGGCCCTGTTCATACGCGTCACCCACGCCGAGGTGTTCGCCCACACTTTCTCTGGGTACGTCTTGGAGACCAACCGAGGGTGCCGGACGCAGTTCTGACAAGTACCGAAGAGCGGTCTCACTATGCACCGGACATATGAGCGGATACCCACACGGCGGAGACCAGCCTTGGCTCACCGTATCCTGTCTAATGAGCCATCCTTGACGTTCATGTCCTCCATGTTGCTCTCCGGGACTTCTAACCGATATCGTGGGCCAAACCACTCGAAATACTCGTTCCAGGGCAAGTTGAGGTCTATGTCGTTCTCAATCCCCAGGGCACACGCTGTCTCGTACGTCCATGTCCGTGCGACGTTCTTGACCGTGTATCCACCGCCTCCTAAGAGGAGCAGAGGAATGTTCTTCTTGCGGATATACTGCACGCAGCTGGCATGCCCTTGCATTGTGAGGTTCAGACAGCCCAGCTTGTCCCCAGACAGCGAGTCCGCGCCGCATTGGAGCACGATCGCTGATGGCTGGAAAACCTCTATGATTTTGTCGATGACCTGGATCCGGGAGCAAACGTGAGCTCAGCCCTGTTCGATGGAGCCTCAGTCCTCGCTCTGAGAGGGAGGTGGCTATGCAACAGACTAGACGCACCGGCTGGAAGACGCTCTTGTATGCTTCGTCTGTGATCCCATCCTTGAGCGGGACATTCAGCGCGTACCCTCGCCCCTTGCCTCTACCCCTGTCGTCCAAGGTGCCTGTACCTGGGAAGTACTCTCCGAACTTGTGGAAGGAGCAGGTCATGACGCGATTTGTGGTATAGAATGCCTCCTCGACGCCGTCGCCGTGATGACAATCAATGTCAATGTAGAGCACGCGAGGGACGGTTCGCAGCATCTCCAGGATAGCGAGCACAATGTCGTTGATGTAGCAGAAGCCAGACGCTTCGCGCTTCTTCGCGTGATGCAGCCCGCCCGCCCAGTTGATAGCTATGTCGGTTTGTCCACTCATCAAACGGTGTGCGGCAGCTGCGCCCTCACGTTGATACAGTTCCTAGACGGAAAGACGCTGAGACGCACCTATCGAACCGCCAGCCGAGATGGAGCAGAACTCAAACACACCGTCAAACGCTGGGTTATCTTCTCCGACGAGGAAGCGCGTCCCTTGATAGGTCAACTGCTGCGCGTTCTCCGGAGTGACCCTCGACAGGAAGTTCACGTATTCGTCGGTATGGAACCTGGTCATCGTCTCGGCGGACGCGCGTTTTGCTCTCTATGTACCACCTCTCAATTTACAGTCACCGGGCATAGCAGAAGGGACATACGAGGACATGCATCTTGGGTAGCATATCGTATGCGGTAAGGAGTTCATGCGTGATCCGCATCCGTTGTGGCTTCATGGGATGCGATAGACCATAGGTGAACGAACCCACGTCGGCTGTGTACTGAGCGTGAGCATGCAGAAGCAGAGCTCTGTATAGAAACATACGGTCATAGTAGTATGTCACCCGTCGTTTCGACATGGTCGGGCGTCGGAGGGAACGGGCTCAAGCCTCACGGCGTCGACGCCGTCGACTCGACGTTGTGCTCAACTTGTCCTCCACATAGACGCTCAAGAGGCAAGATCGAACCGGTCCCCCGGTCCGGATAGCTTAACCTAATATTGACGCGTCACCGTTGCAGCGTCTGCCAGTGAAGACACTCCGCCCTGCCGACTCTACAAAGGGTTGATCCGGACTTTTCCTGCTATCTGCTCCTTGCTGCTCTGTAATGGGGTCGGCAGCTTCCAAGCCTGCACGCAAACTCGCCAGAACACCGCCCGCATGGGCTGGTGCAAGGACGCCTCACGTTGGAGAACAAGCTCCTGCCAAACCTGCCATGCCTCAAGCAAGCGAAACGAAGAGCGAAGGTCAGCAATCTCCAAAATCACGACCTGCGCCTGCTCACATGCGTATGGAGCTATCGAACGAGACTCAAGAGACCCGCATTTCTTGGCGAACCTGAGCAAACTCGGTCAAGTGAAAGTCGATCATCACATGCAGACGATCAAGCCGGTACGTGTTATTGTGCTAATGTCTTGGTGTCTCTTGACGAGCGATGCTCCAGGCTGCCGACCAAGCACAACGTCTTTTCCAGACGCGCCTACGCTCAGAAGACGAGGCGCGCTCCGCGCGACCCTCCAGGAATCAGCTTGTAGCCACATCTCTCATGGACCTCCTTGAAGAGCGGAAGTCGGCATCAACGCAAAGAGATGTGGAAGAGCTCGCGAAGAAGTACGACATCGACCTTGAGAAGCTGGAGCGCATGGCGCGCTACGTGAATAGTGTAAGCATCCACCAAGACTCGGTGAAACGATGGATCAGCGAGGATGGCGTCGAGCACACAACGATGCTAGTGAGTGTCATTCTGAACCTTTCGTATCCGGTAGCAGCTCAACCCCCCCGGGCAGGCCTCCTGGGTGGATCCCAAAATCGAGGAAGAGAAGCCTCTCCTGGGTCCGTAGGCCGGATCATGGAGCGTCTGCGCTTCCATGCTACACCATACGCCGCTTGTCGGTGGGCGAGTTTGTGAGTACCTGAACCCTGTGACCCGACTAGGATTTTTGATGTGGTCGTGCAGGTCCAACCCCATAGACCATCGCCGTTTAGCGTGGCTGATGATCTCTTGCGCAACATCCTTCTGCAACTCTACATGGATCACACTACCTGTATGCAGCTGAGTCGGCTGCTGACACTGCGCGAGCGATCTCGACTTGAGGACGCAGACTCGAGCACGCATATACTCAAGTGTACTCCTACGATACGTGACCTACTACCAGAGGGTATGCATGAATGTATGAGCACTATCGTCCCATGTCCATACAGTCCCTATGAAATTACAAACCTAGAATGCCCTAGAGTATCCAATTCTGCTGCTATGCCTATGTCGTCCTCGCCAGGGGCAACACTTCTTCACCACTCTTCCCCGGTTGTGTCATATCCGGGTCGGTGCGCCGTCTTCTTTGTGAGAAACGAGTTTTGAGGAACGCCAAAGTCGTCAAGGTAACTTCCCCGCCGACTCCAGCGATAGCAGCATGGAGGGGATCAAGCGACTCCTGCGAGGAATAGTCTTCTCCTGAGAGCAGTATGAATATCGCGCAACCGATGGGTCCCGCGGCGAGCCTCGGGGCGTATTTCATGAAGATGAGGGCGTAACGGTTCGTCGGAGTGATGCGCTTGATAAACTCGTTCGCCGGCGCCGTGCTGCCCTCGAGGACGGTGCGGTCGAAGGTGAGTGGGAAGGAGAGGAGGAAGATGATGAACGGCGCGAGATTTACGACAAATGCGCCGACCCCGGCCATGATCATAGTCTGATCCAGCCGGCACCGTACGAAGGTATCGTCAATGGAAGGGGGAAGGATGTACCGCAGGACGAGGTGCCCGAAGACGATTGTGAACCAGTGGGATAGGGCCATAAAGAAGGAGGCGAGCATGACAACGAAGATGAGCATCAGACTGAGCGAGACAAGTCTTCCGGTGCGTCGAAGTGCCTCCAGGACTGGCGGGTACATCCCTTTTACATCCAGAATCGCTTCGGACCAGATTTTACGGACAAAGGCCACCAAGCGGACTACGGGTGGGCTTGAGACGCTTTGTGCATCGTCGCCAGCATAGCCGGCCGTATCAACGTCGGCTTGACTGACGACGCCATCTGGCGACTTCCTTGCGGATGGTGTGATCCCTTCGACACCTGTCTCCAAGTCTATTCCGGGAGTGTCAGCGTGGAGAACCCCTGCGATGTACCAATGGAATGCCATCCAAACTGCGCACCTTTCGCTGCCATGGAGGTGGGGCTCTTATACAGGAATATGACAACCTTCCTGGAGACGCCCGAGGCGCAGATTCAAGCCTGACTTCTCCCGTTACAGCTTCAAGAAGCTACGGGCTGCTGTGATGATATGAGAGTAGAAAAGACAGAGTGAGCAATACAATCAGAACAGCATAAGGCAGTCGTCGGCAGTCGTCACCCTACTCGTAGTACATGTGTTTGAAGACTTACCGTATTGCAGAACCGCTTTGCAAATGACCTTTCAGACTGGGCTCGGGTGGCTCGATACGTACACAGAAGGGACGCAGAGGGCCGAGAGTTCCAGACGATTGGCGTACTTACACTCATTCTAAGAAGGTAACCACGTTATGTGTGATATTACGTATACAAATACGCATCCTTCGATAGCTCAGCTGGAAGTGCGTGAGACTGTAATGGGTTATCACGTGACATCTCAAGGTCGCTGGTTCGACCCCGGCTCGAAGGAGCATTTTACTCTCTTACTTCTGTAATCCATAATACAATATACATGAGCGTGCGTAAACTTTTATAATAGAGCTGTTTTGCTCGCCCCCAAATTCCATGGGTGGAGCGTCCTAGGCCAATCATATCGCTGGATTTTTGGGCGCCTTACCATTCAAGGCAGGTGGTCAAAGTTTCCCTGGCCAGCAAAACAGCTCTAATCCCTATAAACAATTTTTTTGAGTAACCGTCTGTTAACTTCTATGATATATATTGATCATATCATCTTCAAGTAAATCACCTGGCAGGATCGTGATCACAGGAGAGCCTGGGTTCCTGGTATCGCCCTATGCCAGCAGGACTCATGTCGATAGATGTCGATGTCGATAGACCGCATTGATTTTCTTTTCTTCACAGATCCCTGGAGCGATGCAGCCGCGTATGGGAGGAAGAGCCACCTCGCTCCGCTGCCCGTGATCCCGGGACGCCGGCTTCTGACAGGGCGTCTGCGACCGGATGCCGCTGGTGTTGCTGTCTGTAGCCTCTTGGGATCGGCTCAGCCCGCAAACACTCATGAAGACTCTGTTACATGCCAGCATCACATCGCGAGCTTAGGCTACGGGGTCGCCAACGTCGTTATGGACGGGTATGTGCCTGGGACGCGGCGTCAGTCGTCGTCGATGCGCCCCTTGCGACTTGCCACATTCGGTCTGGATCGTCCGGACGCTCCGTGCTCCACGAACACAGTCAAATGCGAACGGTCTATCGACCTGAGTCCTGCTGGCACTACTTTTGCCTCGGATAGTCCTGTATGTAAGCCTCCGAAATCTCTCTCATCCACTAGGCTTTAGCGCCAGCCAATCCGGAGCGGCGCGTCTCGGAGCGCCCACACCGCGGCTGAAGAAGCGCCCGTAACTCTTCCGTGGGCTCCGTCGTGCTCTGACCTTCAGGAGGTCACTCTCCGTCGCTCTGCTGCACGTACAACGGCCATCTGTCGTCCTATCTCATTGAACGTCTACAATGATGCTACGAGGGGCCCGTTGCGCCGTGAAACCTGCCACTACATGTGGCCGTGTTGCTGGCAGGAGGTTGTACTCGCAGGCCGCTCGTGGCACGCAGCGCCCCAAGGTCGCTCTAGCTATCACAGCCGCTTCCGCGGCAACGGCGGGTACCATTTGGTACGCCTCGAACCCACGAGATGTCATCCACAACGACGCGCCCTCGGCAGCAGATGTGCAGAGCAAAGGGGCAGGGGAGAGAACGCGGAGTGCGGACTCCGAGCTGACCACCTTGGTCTGGGGTGCTAACAGGTGAGTCGGCACCAACAGCCTGCACTGATGTATACGTTGTACTGATGTGTGAACAGAACACATCTTCTGGAGGATGATCTCCCTGAGTCCGTCCGCATGCCCACACCTTCGGAGTGGTTCGATAATGTCGCCCTGCGGGACCTGGCGCTGCACGAGCAGCATGCTGCGTGCGTCGACGCGCGAGGAGATGTGTATCAATGGGGGGATGGATTCTTTGGCAGTGTACGGGGTTCCTCGCATGCGAAACCCCGCCTCACGCTCAGGGGCAAGGTAATGTCCCATGCATTGCGTGGCTTTAACCTCTCGAACTCATGTCTACCTTCATTTGCATTGTAGAATATAACTCAACTCCAGCTGACGCGCTCTCGAGTGTTTGCTCTGTCCGCTTCTGGGAGGATTTACGTCCTCTCTTCTCGTCAAGCAGAGCAAGCTCTGCCTACTGGAGCACAGACTCCTGCCAGCACGCCCTGGTGGGGAACCGGCTGGCTTTGGGGAGAAGAGGAAGAGGTTGACTTCGCAGAGATAACCCCCAAGGAGAAGCTGAAGCGCGGCGAGAGGTAAGCTGATGTCATACCCCCTACATCACTCGCTCAGGCTGATACTGTCCTGCCAGATTCATCCAGATCTCCGCCGGGACGGACCACATGCTGGCTCTTACGTCTGAAGGCCGCACGTTTGCCCACCCCATCACACTCAACGCCAACTCGCACGGCCAGCTCGGGTTCCGCAAGTGTGACGTCCCTTCTCCTGCAGATCTCGAGCACATTCACCTCCCGCACAAACACTTGCGTATCCCGCTCGAGCTGACGCCAAAATCCATTGCCGACCCCTATGCCAAGTCGAGTCCTGCCATTCGCCCGGCAGGATCCGCCCCAAGCAATAGCGAGGCTTTGATCGGCAAAGAGGCGGCTGCCGCTAAGCTCGACGACTCCAATATCCGCTTCTCTGATAAGCTGTTCGAGATTCCCGCTCTGAGAGGCGTCAAGGTCGACCGTGTGGCAACTGGCGGACGAAGCAGCTTCGTGAAAACGACCAACGGCAAGGTGCTTGGTTGGGGAGCGAACGAGTTCGGGTAAGCAGCCTCGCCCTCACCCCCGAACGTGCGGGACTGTCTCTGACCGAGTCGATGTAGGCAAATCGGGCTTGGTGCCAACGTGACGCTCGAGACCATCACCGTGCCTACGGAAGTCATCTTGTGGAGGACGACTCCCTCAACAATGAGGACGACATGCCTCGATGTCTTTGCCGGTAAGGAGCACTTAAGATTCCGTCTCCACCGATCATCTCACTCACGTGGCTGCAGGCGGCGATCTCACCATGTTCGAGGTTGAGCGTGCGGATGGCTCGGGGATGCCGTATATCGATGTCCTCTCATGTGGGAATGGCCAGTGGGGTGGCCTGGGCAACGCGCTGTACAGCAATGCTCAGAGTACTCCTGTCCGGGCCAAGAACGTCAGCGGGCTGTTTGAATGTGAGCAGCTCGGATTCCAGAATCCTTCGACCGAGCGCTGATAGACCGTATTGTTATGCAGACAGCGAGTCCGCCCAAAATCTCCAGGCGATTGTGCCTGAGACCATCTCAATCTCTCCTACCGGACATGTCCTCCTGACGCTCGACACCAGGAAGCATGCGGGTCCAGGCGGCGGAGGCAAGGACGTGGTGGCATGGGGAGCCAATTTCGACTACCAACTGGGCAACGGAAAGCGAGGCAGCGTGCCGACGCCCACCGTACTGCTCACCCCTGATGGCGAGCGGTTCATGCTGCAACGGAAGCGCGCGAAGGAGGTTCGGGACATGCGGGGGCAGGTCTGGAAGAAGGGCGTCGAGGTGGAGCAGCGCGCGGTGGCCGGCTGGAACAACTCTGTCGTCTATTGGAGGATCTGCTCGTAGCCACACTGATCGTGAGCTCGTAGTCGTGTTCGTGGGATCTGGGTCGCAGGGATGGATAGGCTATTCCCGCGGTCGGAGGAGGCGGCCCTGTTATTCAATTCGCAGCGATTGGAAGCCTATTGTTATATGGAATCTGGATCTGCAGCTTTGGAACGACCCACAGGTGCTACAGGCTGTGTCCCGGGAGACGAGCGGACGATCTGTCGAATGGGAACTCGCAGCGGGCCCTATCAGACGTGCAGGTACTAAAGCGGCCTCGCCATTGCCCGGCGCGCGCACCTCATGTCCTGACCACCATCTCCCTGCTTACTCCGTCTTGCCTCGCGTCGTCGTAGCCCGTCATTTCCTCCTCGAGGCCCAAGCTGGTCTGATCATCGGAGCGCCTCCACGACGTCCTCGTGTGTCTTCGGGCGCAACATTCCTATCTCACCGGCCGGCCTCATTTAACGCAGTTACCCAGGCGGTCATCCCAGCCTCCCCCTTCTCTCCTCCTTTCTCTCTCTTTCCACCCACTTTCTCTCTGAAGCGAGCGTCGCCATGTCCTCGCCCATCGATGCGCTCTCTCCGGGCTCGTCGCTGTCGTCGTATGATTACTTCTCCTCTCATTCGCGCAGCGCATCGCAAGATGCATCTTCTGGCGAGACCGACTCCTATGGCACCCTCTCCGACGATGTCTCTTCGGACGACGAGATCGTCCTCTCCTTCTCTGATATCTCATCGCTGGAAGTCGTCTCACAGCAAGGAGACGTCCCGCGCACCCCGGGGGTGTTCTCGGACGACGAGTTCGTGATCATGAGCCGGCCCCGCACGCCGCGAGAGGACGACCTCGTAACGTCCTTCTCTGCTCTATCCGTAGGCGCGTCCACTGCGCGATCCCCTCCGAGACGACGCTCCGCGGGCAGCAATAAGAGCTCCCCGTCATCCAAGGGCTCCCGCCGGCGTGTCAAGAAGCATGCTGCTGGACTTACCCATGGCAACGACGTCACTGCGTCGCAGCCGAGCTCGACGAAAGCTGTCGTCAAGTCGTCCAGTGCAACCCCGAAATCCCAGAGCCCATACAAGGCAAAGAGGAAGGCAAAGAGGGCGACCGCGCGGCCGGGGGCCTCGGGCAGTGCGAGCCTGGCGGGTCTTGGCGACAGACCCATCGTCGACGACGTTTCGGAGGCCGGATCCGAGTTCCCGACGGTCTACGTACCGCCCGAGGTGTATGAGAGCGCGCACAGTTATGTTTCGTCGTACGTCTCGTTCTTCACCCTCACATTATGTCTGGCTAAGAGAGACCTGCTGCCTCACAGGGTCCTGTCTTCGGGCCCGTCCACGCAATCGCGCGTGTCGAAGCTTGCGTTCTTGCAGGCCCTCATCATCGAGCTTGGCCTCTACTCCGCCGTGTCATCCCAAGCAACTGCGACGTCTTCTTCGGCGTCCTTCTTTTCCCTTCCCTCGCTTCCCAGCTCGCTCCGCGCCGCGAAGGCGCTATTGAAGTCGCAGGTTTTCCTGAACGTTCGCGACTACCTAGCTGTGCGCTCGCAGGGCGTTGAAGCGCTGCGGCGCGTCATGCACCCTAGCCGCTCCGCCCTCTTGCGCGAGATCAGGAGCGGGAAGAAGGCTCCCGCCAAGTCAGTGAAGGAGACCGGCCTGAGCGTGCTCCTCGTGACATGTTACCGGTGACCTACTTCAGCGACAGCTCTGCCGCTCACCCCGCCTGGTTGGATTCCTGGCGTTTCGATCCGGCGCTGTCATTCGTTCTCTGTCCATAGAACGCGTTTACATGGACCAGTTTTGACGCCTCGATAATCCCTCCCCTGCTTCTCCTGCGTTTATGAC